TGCAAGTAGCAGCTTCTTTCGATTCCAATACCCTTTTTAGCTGTTTACGAACCACAAGAGCCTCTTCCATCTTTCGCTGCAAAACCTGAGATAAAAGAAAAGTAATTCCTTAAACTTCTTTGTCGAGGAAAGTTTCATAGGATGATGAAATGTTTATCTTATACTTATAGAGACATTGAAAACATACATGCTTCTGCCTCTGGTTCAAAGCCAAAAGCACATGCATCTTATACTCATTTCTCCTTTGCTCTCTTTTAAGCTGTTGAAAAGTACAATATCACTTTGATTTTAGTACAGCATGGCAAAAGGTAAATATAAAACAGGCAGTAGCACACATGGAAACTTTGAGAAGCTTGGCACTTTATGTGGCGTGAAGGCATTAAGATAAGGATTTCAGAGATGAGATATAGTAATGCAAAAGCCGGTGAATATTTCATTGGAAGAAAAATATGGGATAACAGGTGTAGACCTGCAAAATTTCTTTTTCAAGTGAAGCCTTGCATAGCCTGAATTGCATGGACTCTAGCTTCAGTTTGCATTGAAGCTGAACCTGTGTAACAAAGATTCCAACACTAAGCACAAGAGAACTACACAGCATAAAGTACATTTCACCTAATGAAAATCACCTTTTGGGCCTTTAATTTGTGAATCTCATGGGACTCATCTGCTTCATCAGGAATTCTGAATTTCTTGGCAGAGAGTTGAGATAGTACATCTAGTTTCTTCTTCAACTCTGAAACCTGGAAATATATGATACTTGATATCAAGCCATAAATTTTCAGAATGAGACTATGTGAGAACAATTTGTGAATTTCACAGATCTTACCTGGTTGCTTGACCTCTCGTTGTAGTCTTCCTTCATATTTTGGGCATCAGCACCAGATGTTGATGAAACATCGGTCATCGTGTACTTCAAAGCATCATTCTCACTCTGCAAATTTATTAGATAGTAAGAATTAAAGACGCTGCCATCAACTAGTTCCTGCATCTAAGCATATTTGCAGCAATCGAGCAGATTCAAGTTCGACTCCAAACATCAAGAGCACAGAAGAATAATAGTAGGTTTATTCAATCACTGGATCAAGCTTAATAATGTGTCGCACAATCAAATCCTTCATTTTCGTGCAATTTCAGATCTCTCAGCCAATAATTTCTTCTAATCATGATAATCAAAGATAAGAGGCAGCAAAAACAGAAGCATATATCACCTTAGGAGCTTCATTTTCGATCTCAGACTCCCGCACTCTCTTTTCGTCGCCGTGTTTATCATCGACTGTCAACGGCAAATCTGGAACGCTACCCCGCTTAGATCGACGAGTATGTTTCTTCATCTTCTGCAAATGAAGATTAGATCGTTCAACTTAAGCATCTAATGGTACAGCGGTTTGAGAATGTTTGAATGAGCAGAATAAAATGATTTTCTCTTCCTTTCCATTACTTTGAAGGAGCTTTCCTATGTCAAAATGGCCGATGGGCGGGGGGAGATTATATTTGAAAACTTTGAATATCAGGAATGAAGTTGCCTATTTATGCATTTGTAATTTTTTAGATCGAATAGAGGTACAAACAAACACTTGTCAGATTTTACAAATTTGCATTTTTTTTAAATTTAAATTTAAATATTTTTATTATTTAAGTACATCTTATTTCTAGTAAAATGTTAAAAATGTAGATTTATAAATTTTGTTAATAATTTATTTATAACTCTAGTATTAATATAAGAGTGATAGTCACACTTCACCAAATAATAAAACTCACTCCCCCCCATTAATTTTTAGAGTAATTATATAGGAGTATATAAATTCTTATAATAGATAGTTTTTTATATTTAGTTCTTATATTGTATTGGTGTTCTTAGTTTTTTAAAATTATTTTATAATTAGTCCTTTAGATCAAATATAATCAAACATTATATTTTTTTCACATATAGTCCGCAAAGGATTCTTTATGAAAATGTTAAACAATCGAGGATCATAAATGTAATATCTTAGACTTAGGGATTAAATATGGAAAATCATCTCTTATAGGAGACCATTTATGAAAATTAATCACCTATAATTTAATTTCACTATTTTTAAAATTATTTTTAGTCACATACTTCGCACTCTCTAATGTACATTGTAAATTTTTTAGAATTTTGATAGGATAATATTTTTTCCGGTCAGTTTTTTGTTGTACGAGCGATTTTCGGTTTTGGTTCGTTCGGTTTTAGTTTATGATCGGTTCGGTTCGGTTAGTTTTCAACCATCTTAAAAATTGGTTTTTTCGGTTTCAAACCGAAACCGACCGTTGCTCCGCCCTAATACTATCTTAAGAGAACTTCCTTACCAGCCTTAGAGAGGGACTTCCTTTTCCACAAAGACAACCACTGACGGACGTAATCCAAAATATAAGAAAAAATATTAGACTTATTCCTCCTTTGCAACCCCAAATATTTTCCAAATTTCTTTGCCTCACCACCCCCAAAAAATCCTCAAATCATGTGCGAATATCAAGTAAAGTATTTTAACTCAAAAAATTACTAGATTTATTAAATTAATCACTTGGTCTAAAAGACGTTCATATTCTGAGAGCACCCACTTCACCTCGCTTGCTTCCACCTTAGTAGCTTTCATAAATAAGAGACCATCATCCAGAAACAAAAGGTGGCTAATTGAAGGAGCTCCACGTGCCACCCTAATGCCTTGCAGCAGACCTCTCTGTTCTGCATTCTACAGCAAAGAGGATAGGCCTTCTGCACAAAGGATGAATAAATATGGACTCAGCGAGTTACCCTGACAAAGCCCATGCGTTAGGAATATTAATATCACTCAATTCCCCATTAACCTGAACGCGGTTATGAATAGTGGTGAGACAAAACATGATAAGGTCAATTCAACTTCTATTAAAATCCAACTTGTCCATCATCAATCTCAAGAAGCCCTACTCCATGTGGTCACAAGCTTTTGCCATATCGAGCTTCAACCAAACCCAACCAATGGTTCCTCCTTGTTTACGACAAAGATAATCTCCCAACTTAGCCGTCAATAGAATATTATCTGAGATCAAACTCCCGGAAAAAAAGGTGATTGTGTCTGTGAAATGATGCCCTCTAGGGTTTCAGACAATTAGCCAAAACTTTTGCCACAATTTTATAAATAATATTACATAAAGCAATGTGGCGTAGGTCAGCGAGTGTCTCCAGTGTCTCCAGACTATGGTTTTTTGGGATCAACACAATGTTAGCATCATTAATATCCTTTGGAAGGACTTTATCATTTAGACAATGCAAAATAAACTTAGATACATCATGACCCACAAGATCCCAATTTTTCTGATAAAAAATAGATTAATACCATCCGGGCCCGGATATTTATCAGGGTGCATTGAAAAAATGACTGCCCTAGCCTCATCATCCCCAAAAGGACGTACCAACTCATCACTTTGCTCCCTTTTCACCCTTGGGCAAAGATCACTAAATACGTCCACGTATCATTCCCGTAAGAATAAAATCGTGAATAAATATGTTTGTTTGATTATCATGATATAAATGACCATTATGAATTAATGAACCATGAATCAAAGTGTATAGATTGATGAATAATAAAATAATGTACTCCCTCCCTCCCCTAGTTTTTGTCCACTTTCATTTTTACACACCATCCAATGCATTTCTTTAATCCATTTTATCTTGTAATTTGTATATTAAAAAATTATAAAAAGTATATATTAATAATCTATATGTTAAGACAAATCAAACAAGATCACACATGACTATATTTAGGCTTACACATTGAGAGAATTTGATGAGTCAAAGTGCTTAAATGAATAGTTCCAAAAGTCAAAAGTGAACAAAAACTGGGGGACGGAGGGAGTATATTGTTAAGTTTATCTAGAAGACTTCTAAGATAGACCTCAGATTAGAATGGACTTGTGTGTGTAAATATGTATAATTGGTGATTGGATAAAAACGTATGAACGGGATTCATAGACAAAACTAGAGGATCACTCGTTTGGGAATACCCCAACCCGACGGTGAGTAGTTGTTGTTCTGTTGTTTCCTTTAACAGACTACAGTTAAGAGTCTGAAAATAATTGAAGGACAAAAATAAATTATGTTTTGTGAATGTGATTTGTTAAGCTTCCACAACATTGAAAACTCCGTACTGTTTCTGTTATGAAAAATATTATTGTGATAAATAAAATTTTTAGAAATGTTTTAAATTTTTACAATTACCAAGTTAATATTTTAGTCCGAAAGGGGCTGCAGACCTGGACGAATTAGGATGTTACAAAAAGAATACTAAGTAACGTCTTTTTAATATATAGTTAATGACCATAGCTCCACTGGCCTCTGTATTTTGGAAAATTGGCTCTAATGCCTCCTTTGTTTTGAAAACATATTTCTAAAGTTCAAGTGGTTTCAAAACGTTGCACTCATATTCTTTCTGATCATTTTCTAGTGAAGAGTGGCACTAGTGCTTTGTCCAAACCATATGAGGTACTCATGTTCATTTCTTATTTTTTTTTGTAGTATTTGGTTTTTTAACTCTTTTTTTATCTATTTGTTTCATTTTCTTAGAAAACTTTTTTAAATTTTTTTCAATTTTTATAATGTTTTAAAAAATCAAAATTCTTTGTTTTTGAAATAAAAATTAAATTAAATGGCATATACTCGATCCATCTCAAATTAAACATTTTCACTTGATTTTTTTGCAAACACAAAAAAATGATTATTAAAACATTATAAAAATTAATTTAAAAAAGAAATTTGAAAAGGATTTTTGAAAAAATAGTGGAAAACAAAAAAAGAAAAGAAAAGAGGGAGCATTTATGCAATTTCCAAAATCATACAGGACAGCAAAGCTATTTACATCATATTTGAAAAATATTTTAGTTTAAAAGGTGCTAACATGACAATATCAAATGGGGTGATGGATGTACAATTACCAAATGAGGGGTTTGTTGCAATAAACACCTCTTGTCTGGTGACATTGAAATCAATTCCTAAAACTTTGAAACAATTAAACAACTTTTAAAAACTTCTGGTGAGATTCTGCATCCTTAACCGGAAGATAGCTCCTCAAATCTAGCGAGTGTAATGGCGGCAATCAACGAAATTGTGTCGCCGGAGCAAGAGGCACAACGGACAGACGACGGCTTCGTGTGGGATGTAAATACCCAGCTCTACTACCACTCTAAGTCGGTCGCCACTCATGAATTCGAGATTTCTGTTTGTTAATTCCTTTTCAAATTAGGGCTCTCTAATTTTGAATTACTCCATACACTTTTTACTTAAATAAAATCATTTGAATTTCTACCTTCATATATTGCACTAACTCGATTTCAAACCATTGGATACGATTATGGTTTCTGGTCTCGGTTTATTTGTAAAAGACTCGTCCCTTTTCTGGACGAACATGTTTTCTTCTATGTGGCTCACACAAAAAGTGTTTTTTATGGGTATTAGTAGATTTTGGTTGTTATTCCACCAAAGATTTAATTGTAAGCATTGATCATCCTCCATTGATGCAGCACTGGGTTCTACCATGATCCTCAAGCGGGATGGTATTACAGTAGTAGAGACGGCCTATATTACAAGTTTGAAATGGGGAGATATACTTTGATAGAGTGTGATCAGGTAGAATTTGCAATTAGACCTTTTAATCTCATTTACTTGTTATTTTGCCAATGTTGATATCAATATACTGTCAGTTTTCATTTTTTTTAAGTCAAGATTTGTTCATGGTTATCTGGCCAGGCTGATGAGTCTCAAAGAAGTACTTCTGATGCTACTGCTGCTAATGTTGCCATCCACGATGATCCACATACATGTGCCAATAGTCACAAGGAAGAGGAGTTTGCATCATTGCATGAATTCGGTCCTAAAGAAGCAGGAACGATTAGTAATGAAAGTTCTGAAGGTCAGCAATTTTGTTATTTAAATTTTCCAAGAGAACTTTTGGCATTAGAATATTTTTGTTTTGTTACTTATTTACTTAAGCTCTTCGAGAGAAATTTGTGTTCAAGAACTTTTGATTGAATTATTGTGCATTGTTTTGAATGATCTCAATATGTGAATCATTAGTTGATAACCTTTTGCATTTACATTTACTCCTTTAGTGATTAATTTTTCCAGTGGGGCAGACAAGATGTTTTCTAATGTGCCTTAATATTTTAAGGTACAACATATATAATAGTGAATCGGCTTCATCCGTCATTTCCTTGGCACTTTATGTTGTTCATGCTATCCATGTTTTACGTAGTATTTCATAGAACATGTTTGTTACTCTTGTTTCCGAAGTCATTTACGTGGAACTTTATAAATTTAGTCTAACTCACCCCAAAAGAATACTCAAAAGGTGAGATTTACCTCAAACTTGTATACACACAAATCCTTAGCTCAAACTGAGCTAAGTAACTAAAAGGGTGGAGGATGGACAAATAGGCAAAATCATCCGTAAACAGGTTGCCCAAACCGTGAGTGACAAACGAAACCACTATCGAATCAGGTTCATATACCATGTTAAATTTTGTCTAGCTCACCCAAAATAATTCTCAAAAAGTGAGGTTTACCTTCCACATTTATATTAGACTCAAATTTGATAAACATCGACACTTAACAAAACTAAGCGCTTATTTCGTTCCATCATATAATTGTATTTTCAGCACCTGACATTCTGGATCTTGGAGTTAATCCTTTCTTTTTTTATTTTTAATGAACTGGCTGCCAATGGAGCTAAAATAGTCGTATTTGACAAATGTTTTAGCTTCAGGTAAATAATGGACTAAGTCAAAATGACACATAAAAACTTCCCTTGCATCTTGCTTTATCTAAAGTTTTGGTTAGTATATGCAGCAATGCATCAGAGGTCTAATGTAAGCAGCCTTGCTGTTTTCCAAAGGTGCATACATATTGACCCCTAGACCCCAATTGAGTTGGGATTATACCGGCTTTGTTATTATTGGCTGTGATTTAATGTCATTAGTATGTTTTTTTGCTTTTTTTTTGGATATATATGAAGATCATAAAGGTGGTATTGAAAATGAGCTGCTAGAAAATCCACCACCTTCTGAGTGGTATGTACTTTTACACCGTTCTTCCCTTATGCCCTTAAATTGTGGTATTTGTAGTATAGTCTCTAATCTAACTTGCGTCTTTATATTAGGCTTGAAGACACACTGATTGATCTGTACCTTTCAAATTATCCCAATCAGTCAACACATGCTATATCTGACTCAATGGCACATGTGGAAAATAATGGCTTAGATGGCTTAAATGTATCGACAGCTGGTTTGTACAACACCATTTCACTATTTTGAGTGAATTATTGTTTCTGAACTAAAGCTTACTGAATCTTGTCAAGATGCAGAAAATGATGATATTTATGAACTTGAGGATGGTGAATGGATCCCAGATGACCATCTAGTTTGTTCTTCAAATGAAAATGTGTTGGACTACTTAGATGAAGGTTTGTGCATTAAATCTTTCAAGTTAATTTCAAATCTCCAGAATACACACAACTTTTCTCACTTTTTTTATCAACTTGTATCATTTTTTGAATAGCATTGCTGCTCTAAATTTTGATGCTCGTTAATTCATCTAGCATTGCACCTTATTGTGATTCTCAGTTTGTATTGTCATTGCTCATAAAAAATAAGCATAAATCTTCATTGTACTACACTTTTACCTTTTTTTTTTTCAATATGGCAAATTGGAGAGGAGGAGCTTAGTGAGAAAATGAAATGAATGGATGGGATGTATAATCCTCATCTTACTACACTTCTACCTTGAAGTATATAATTATCTATGCATGAGAGGATATGCTGAGTCAACTATCATTTTGTTCCGTTGACTTTTCGTGGTAATTAGTTTGTGATTTACGGAAGAAGAAGAATTTTTAAGTACATTCAAGGAGAGAAGGATATATATATGTCCTATTGCTTTAGCACTAGTGAAATTTGCTAACATCTATTTTTTTGTAAAGCAGGTCCTTCTTTAGATGAAGAAAACTGGCAAGCTCAGTATGGTCAAGTTATTCGACCAGAAGAAGATTCGTTTCTTTCCAATGTACATGTGATCAATTTGTGGGACTGGTCACTGGTAAAAGGGAGAAGGAAAAAGAAAGAGAAAAAACATAAGGTGACCATGCTTGTTGGGCGATTAATAAAACGCTCTGCCCAGCTGCATCCATCTATGCCTTCCAGCAGTGGGCTTCTCAGAACTGCTCCTATTTGTGAAGTTCATCTTGATCTGGTACGAGTCAAATCAGGTTTGCCTTTTCTCTGGATTCATTTTCCAATAGTTGATAGTTGTCATGGTCGCCTAGGCGGTCGACCACCTTGGCGATAATTAGACAATGTCTAATGAACGAGAATTATTGTACATTAGTAACACTAATATAAATATATTACATAATATATTGTAATTCATAAAATTCAAATTTAGGAAAGTTTAATATCCATATACACCATACTTAATAGTCATTTGATGGACGTTTTTTACAGAGTACTACCAAGGAAATAAATCTCAATTATAAAGTACCATTTAGGAAATTATTGCCGATTGAGGATTGATTTGGAAAACACCCTATTATAAAGGATTATTTTGGGAATTTACTCTTTTTAAAATGATTTTATCTATAAATTGGTATATAAATAAAAAAGTTCAAACTACATATTTAAAAACTATATCAAAAGCTTTACAAATCAAGATGTGACAAGAATATACAGAGTATTATTTTTTCAAATGACCAATGAAAACATACGAGTAAGCAAAAGTTATCCAGAAGCTCAAATAGTAAAAGTGTAAATCATATTGGGACTGAGGGAGCATAAAAAATCATACATTTAGAATAGTCCTCTTGTTGCATCAAACTGGGTTGTTACTGTTGATGTATTGTTGCATAAATTTATAATAGTACTTTTCAAAACAACAACAACAACAACCCAGTTGAATCCCACTACAGTAGGGTCTAGGCAGGGTGTGTGTACGCAGACCTTGCCCCTACTCGGAAGTAGGGAGGCTGTTTCCAAGAGACCCCCGGCTCAACCTGCACAAAAAAATATGGTAGGGAACACAGTATAACACAGATAAAGCACTTTTCAAAACAATAAATCAAAATAATACTCCATAAATCCATGAAGAAGAATAACTGGTTCGCTATGCGTGCCTTGTATCGCCTCTGATCGCATCACATAATTTCGATGATGCGGGCGCGCCTGATTTCCAGGCCCCTGCGCCTCAGGCATGCTTTTCAAAACTATGATCGTTAAACGTATTATGAAATACGTAAAGGAGCTCAGAACCTTGGCCTGGAAACATTGAAAAAGCACGTAGCTGTTTCTTTTTTGGTGGAAATCTCTTTGCATGGCTGATCAAAAAGCAAAACTCAGTTTCTCTCTCTATAGCATAAGTCGAGTACCTAGCTGTTGGAATTGAAAAAAAATCATAGGTAATCGAATGAACTTATAACCCAGGGAAGGCTTTTTAGAACCATGATAATAACAATATAGGTGTTAGATGAAATAACCATTCTCTATATACCCACATGTACTATGACTAGAGTCAAATGATCCAGTGATCTCTCTCAATCCATAGTTTGTAGCTCTGATTTCTTGGTTGTACTATCTTAAAAGTTGTAGTCACTGAAGTCTTTCCCCTTAATTGCCCTTACACAGGCACTATATATAGACTGCAGAATCCCAGCTCACAATATTTGGCTTCTTTATCTACCTATGATTCCTCAAACCCAACAAAAGGCTGGCGCTTTCCTCAATTGTTGTTGGATAGGCTAGTAAAGGAAGATACGGCATCAAGTCTGGGAGATGACTTCAAAGTTCCTAGGGTTATTGTTGGCCAGAAGGATATCTGTTTGCCATCTGAGCAGATCAGTGCATTTAATAAGGTTGGTTCTTCATATTAAGCTTCTTTCAAATGGACACAAATCTGAGTGGAGTTTGTGCTCTTCACTTTAGCAGCGAATGTTTGTTCTAATCTTATTTTTTCCCTTTTCTTCTTCCATTTGGTAACTATAGGGCAGAGGTCATGTGTATAGAGATAGAGCTGCAGAGAGGCGAGCTTTACATAATGGGATCGGGGTAGGTCCGGGACAAAAGAAGTCATTTGATTCTGATCCACACCCTTCCACCACATCAGCTTCTCCAGAGGAAGCAATGGCTGAATCCCTGAACAGGTCATTTGGAACAGGAAGCTATGCCAGAAAAATTCTTGAAAACATGGGCTGGAAAGAGGTAAACTTTAAAATATCAAAATTTAAAATAGTTTTGATATATCAAATTTTTATCACATTTAGTTATTTACAACTATATTTAGTTTATGGTCGAACTATGCAACTGTTTGATCAAAAAAGTCAAACTGTGGTAATCTCTTTGGGACAGAGGAATATCGGATATTTTCCTTTGTCTCAAGATGTTACTATTGCCATTGCACAATGGATATGAACTAGAACATGGGAATGTGATATATGTCATCATGTATTATGCAGGGAGACGCACTTGGCAGCCGCAATGATGGATTAATTGAACCATTGCAAGCAAATGGGAACATAGGTAACGCCGGGTTAGGATGGAATCACAGCAGAGGAAGATACACTTCTTGAAGTACCCCATCTCTGAAAACAACATTCCTTTTTGGTGTCCACGTTTTTGTTGTCTTTTGGAAAACTTGCCGAATCTCAACTTCTATAAACTGACTGAGCCTAGCTCATCAAACACTTGCTTATTTGAATGTAAAAATAAAATTGGAAAAGAATGTTACTTGTTGTCTTTTATATGTATGTATGGTAAATGCATTCTTATATTCTTTAGTTAAGTAAGACTTAGGCTTTGTTTGGGAACAATATTTTCGATTAGCGTATAATATAACCCAACAAGCTCAAGTGCTCAAGGTGTACATGAAAAAATAATGCCCATGAGTTCTCAACAAAATAATTAAATAAAGGAGAATACAAGCAAGAACAATATGAACACTTTAGATAACCAAGAACTTTACGTATTCTAAACTTGTATGTTGGTAAATGGCTTTCTCTAAAACTGCCATCAAATATATTGACTCATCCACATTCGCAAGCTCTAACACCAAAATGATTCTACAATTCACCATGAACCTTCTGACATAAAGTAGTTAATAAATTAAAAATAAAAAAATTCAATGCACATCTTTATAAGTAATACGCCCTCCGACTCGCTATATTCATCCAATTTTGACTTTTGGAACTGTTCATCTAAGCACTTTGACTCATCAAATTTTTCAATGTGTAAGCCTAAATATAGTCATGTGTGATCTTGTTTGATTTGTCTTAACATATAGATTATTAATATATAATTCCTATAATTTTTTAATATACAAATTACAAAATAAAATGGATTAAAGAAGTGTATTGGATGGTGTGTAAAAATGAAAGTGAACAAATATTCTGGAACGGAGGTAGTAATTTATTGCTTATAAATGGAGACTTGATGGTTTTGAAATAAGTACTCCCCGTACGAATAAAAAGAAGAGAGGAAGAAGAACTCAAAATAGATATTCTTCATTTTATTATCTCTATATTCTGCTCTCATGTAATTTCGTATATTGAAAATGAAATAAAATTGGGAAATATTCAGTTAGTAATTAAAGATACAACGAAACATTTCAACGGCTATGGAGAAGTCTGATTATGTAAGATATTGCACTGAAAACGAATTACACAACTCAAAACATACATATTACAGACTTCAAAATTTTGTGATTGCACTTGGAATGAGTTATGCAACTCCATTTTAGGAAATCATACGAAACTGCCAAAGAAATGGGTTATGCTGAATGTGGAACACACGAACCCATTCCCCGAGCCAGCCAAGGCCTATCAAGATGTGGATCTATGAAGCCATGCATAAGAAATTCTTGGGCCTCTTCATCCATTAGTTCTCTGGCCCACGTTGCACGCTTTTCTTGGCAACTACCGGGCCCAAAACATCTGCAAGAGGTTCATGGCATCGACGAGGGAAAGGATCATGGCCCAAAACAGCTCATATGCTCCGACATATGTTAATTCATGAAATCAAACAAAGACTTTACCTATACTCATAAAAGCAAGCAGTTCTCTCATTCTCAGCCTTGCCCCAATTATGCCAGCCATCTTCTTTAACACAATGGTCCATGTACGTGTGCGCAAAAACAACCCTTCCAAAAGGTCCCCATGGTCGTCCAAGATGTGCATAAGATTTTCCTCCATTGCCAGTGATCACACATCTGCATAAACATTTTGGAGTAGGTGGAAGACATCTCAAAAGGACCAAAACAGTCAAATAAGAGGAAAATCATATAAAAGAGAGGGCAAAATATCAAAATTTAGGAAAGGAGCATGCCTACAAAACACCTAATATTTTACATTTGAGCAATGAGAAAAAATAATTAATGACCTATTGACCCACAGGATAGTGTAGTCCAACAAAACAATTTCATAAAATAAGCTGTGTGGGCAATCTAATGGCAGATTTAGCAAGCCAAGAGAATAAATAAGAACCTGGTCCACTGCAACAGTGCAACCCAAACACAATTTCTAACTCTCTCTCATAACATCAGCTGGCTCCACCCCAATGTGCAATCATGACCTCTATATCTACTGGTTGTGTTCAGCAGTCCAGTGATAAGAGAACCGGGCCAGAGCAGCCAGAGAAGCACTCTAACTTCCACCTTTAAGAACTGGTCAAAATCCAGAGACACAGTTCGACCACTAACACGGTGACCAGGTCACAGGATGGGAGAGAATTTCAAAATTTGAATAAAGAAAAACTCAACTTGGACATTTTGAAGTTTAAAACATTTGCCTTTCCAATGGACTTCAATAGTCAAATGTACTCACGCCAATCTAGTTGACATTGTAGGCTTCAACTCATGTAAGGAAGCTATTCCACAAATTGCTTACTTATGTTTCACTGCATGATATTGAGTTTGTGCTACGCATTTTGTTTCAAGAATTTTGGCATATATTGGTGGTGGGACACTAGTGTGCAAGAGAAGGTAAAGGTAAAGCGGGAACGTTTCAAGGAGTGGTCTTTATTTCATAATGTGGAAAGTTGGGAAAGGTATAAGACAACTAAGATGGAGACAAAAGTGGCTATAAGTGAAGCAAAAATGAGAGCGTATGAAGGGTTTTACCAATCCTTGGGTACGAAAGAAGGAAAAAGATGTATTTACAATGATTGCAAAGGGTTGAGAAAGAAAGATGCGGGATTTAGACCAAGTTAAGTGCATTGAAAATAAGAATGGTGAAGTTTTGGTCTCCGATGAAAGCATAAACGACCGGTGGAAGAGCTACTTAACGATCTGTTTAATGAGTCACATGTGAATCTCTCATGCTCCGGTCGGCTACACACGAGGGAGGTGGACCAAAATTTCAATTATTATCGAAGAATTCGAGAAACTGAAGTTAAGGAAGCCCTCAACGAATGAAGAATAGCCGAGCAGTGGGCCCAGATAACTTTCCGATTGAAGTTTGGAAAGGTTTAGGAGGAAAAGGCATTTAGTGGCTAACTAAACTTTTTAACGAGATTTTAAGATCTAAGAAGATGCCTAACGAATGGAGGAAAAACATTTTGGTTCCTATTTACAAGAATAAGGGATATATTCAGAGTTGTGGAAACTACAGAGGGATCAAGCTTATGAGTCATACGATGAAGTTGTGGGACAAAGTGGTTGACAGAGGTTGAGACAAGAGACTTCGGTGTTAGAGAACCAAATTGGTTTTATGCTAGGAAGATCAACTACAGAGGCTACATACTTGGTGAGAAGAATGACGGAGAGGTACCGAAGCGAAAAGAAATATCTACACATGGCTTTCATTGATTTGGAAAAGGCATATGACAAGGTACCAAGAGAGGTATTGTGGAAGGTGCTAGAGAAAAAGGGAGTAAGGATTGCTTTTATTCGTGCGATTACGGACAAGTACGATGGTGCCACAACGAGCGTGAGAAGTCAAACTGGGATTACAGGGGAACTCCCTATCGGTGTAGGATTACACCAAGGGTTATCGTTAAGCCCATATCTTTTTACACTAGTATTGGACGTTCTTACCGAGCATATCCAAAAATCTGTACCATGGTTCATGTTTTTTTCCGACAACATCTTCCTTATGAGCGAATCACAAGAGGATCTGAATGAAAAGTTGGATTGGTGGAGATAGGCTTTAGAGTTGCATGACTTGCGTATAAGTCGCACTAAAACAGAGTATATGGAGTGCAAGTTTGGCAACAGAAGGCATCAAGGTGAAAGCTGGAGAAAATACTATACCATAAGTAAAGAGAATTAAATATATTGGGTGTATCATTCAAGACAATGGAGAAGTAGAGGATGATGTTAATTACAAGATTCAAGTCGGTTGGTCAAAATGGCGAAGTGCTTCAGGCTTTATATGTGACAAAAAAGTACCTCTAAAACTAAAGGGAAAATTTTACCGTATTGCTATTAAATCAGCTATATTGTATGGGATAGAGTGTTGGGCAACAAAGGGTGAACATGAACACAAGGTTAGTGTGGCAGAAATGAAGATGCTTTGTTGGATGAGCGGTCATACGCATATGGAAAGAATAAGGAATGAAGATATGAGAGCTAATGTTGGAGAGGCACCTATTGTAGAAAAGTTGGTGGAAACTCGTGTTAGGTGGTTTGGACATGTGGAGAGAAGACCAATAGAGCATCCTGTGAGAAGGGTTGATCGAATGGTGAATAGGCATGTGGTTGGAGGGAGTGGTAGACCTAAAAGGACTTGGCAAGCATTGATCAAGGGAGACCTTTGCGTGAACAATCTCACAGCAGATATGATACATGATAGGGCGCAATGGCGTTGTTTGATCCATGTAGCTGATCCCACTTAGTGGGATAAGGCTTTGTTGTTGTTGTTGTTGTATTGGTTTGTGCATCAGTATAAGGAAGGATATCTAGGTCCACACATGCATGATTGCATGGTATATAAAAGTTTGAAGCTCCATTGAACCAGAACATGACTCTCTCTCTCTCTCTCTCTCTCTCTCTCTCTCCTAAAGGAAGTAGCAACTAAGAACAATGTATGGCCAATAGTGTGGAATGGACTTGATCAAAATGGAACTTTAAACCTAGACCCACTCAAGATTTCCGGCCCACGAAAGCTCCCAGCCAAACAAAAAATACTGAAAAGGGATTGACAAACTATTGGCATTACTCTGTCTTAAGCAATTATATTAAATTATATAAAAGCAATGAGAAGTTGAGAACCCAAAGACTGATTATATATGAGCAAATTTTTGGGTATAAATGAAACATATTAAGACATTTTGATCTAATAATGAAGGAGCATATTTGACATATTCAAAGAGATGAAATTCATTACAACTATTAAAGCCACAAAATTCAGAGTGAGGTGATTCATAGGTTAGTGACTCAAAATAATATCAAAACTATCTGAAAAAGAAAAATAGTTTCCAATGATTCTATTGTAATCCCTTTAAAATAAGCCAAGAAGAACACATGACAAGTATTCAATATACAATAAGTTTGGCATATAGTTGTCTTGCAACCCTTTTACAATTTATAGTATATGGAGTTACTAAACAGAACTATATTTTAAATATGGCTAAAATATAAAAGATTCCCCTAAATATGGTTACCATGGTTTTATTCTCAAGGTAATACTCATTGGGTCATAGATAAAGAAGAGATATTATTTAATAATAGTAACTTACTAAAGAATGACTAATATACAAATCAATTACATTATAACCTTATGGAAGCTTAA